ACTTCCGCTCGTTTCAGCAACCGGAAACACTCCCTGTTATTAGCAAAATTTAGCAAAAATCGCAATAACAATCTTATCATTCTGTAACTGTGTCATTTCTCCCGTGGCGTGACTGCAATAAGTTGGCGCCACTGATTGCAACGGCTGCAACACACGACACATTGCAGGTAGCATTCCTTGCAGGAATTATGCTACCTGCTGTAATGATCTATAAAGGGGAAATTTAAATTCAGTGATGAAAAATCACTCTTCAGACCGGTTTGATTTGTTTATGACAAGGCATCCCCAGTTAATATTTTTGAAGGTGATAACGTAATTAAAGTAAATAAAGGCGGATTAAAGCGAATGACATAGAAAGGTTATCGGAGAGATTACGTGGGGTTTCTCCTTCAAAGAATGTCATTCACGAAAAATTGGACAAGAGAAACGAATTAAAGCCCATCAAAGTTGCCTGTGACTTTGAAATTAAGTTGGCAAGTGCCTAAATGTTGCCAATTTAAAACCACACACAGCTTTCTGAGATAAAAGTGAATCAAGCTACTTTCAGTGATTTAAAAAAATTAAACATTAATAAAATATTCGTGCTTAACTCAATTATTCTTTATAAAGTTACATTTTATGTAGAGCATGACTGAAATTGTTTAAATATTTCGAGAAAAAGTAGTGAAATGAAATAAAATTTTTATGGGTCCAACACGACTTCCATAAAAAGCAAAACATTAATGAAATCATCGCGATGACTAATAAATCCTTCTCTCAGGTGTATTTTTTGCGGAATGGGTTGTGGTTTCTCCAAATTATTACAATAAATAATGATTAGTAACATTTATTAAAATATCAATCACCAAACAATAGAAACCCAACGTGAATAATTAGTCGTAAAGAGACTCGCAATTCACGATTCTGCCAAGCTTTTATGTAAATTTATTCTACGAACGATCAGAGAAAGTCATTCAAGGTTTGGCACCTCGTAGATTTTCCTGAAAAATTCAAAAACTACAAGCCTTTGTTATTGTGTTCTTGACTTTGTTATAAACTGAAAAATGTGTCAGGGGTGTTTATTCTCGATGCACCTTTACGATTCGTTTTCTGACGTACAACTCCAAAAATAGGGAATTACGTGCTTTGCATAATTTTGATCATTTTGCGACTTTTTCATATTCATGACTCACAAAATCCCGGAATCTGCAAGAAAATTGAGTAAATTGTGTCTAGGAGAAATGTCAAGTCGACGCTGCGAAACGTGATACAATACAGGGTGTGCCTGCGTAAGAAAAATTATAACTTTGTTATTGTAAACATTTCGGTTTTTGAGTGATGTATTTGGTATACCTTACATAAACAGATTTTTGAAATTTATCTTTTACCTCAATGGATATTTTTAGTACGATTATTCGGTCTAAATTTTAATTTTAGAAAAGTCAAATATTCGTATTTACGTAAAAATAGTATTGTTTAGTGTAATTAGGAGCACTTATATAAACTCACAAGTTTTAAATAAATGCCACGTGTAGAAAGCTTAGGTGAAAATCTTGAAGGAAAGTTTGTTTAAAATCAGGTAATAAAGTATCTTATCAACAAACTGCTAAATTTGAGTGCCGTCCAAGAAATTATTTTCTCACTTACTTCAACACTTTTGGTTCTTTATGAAGAATTTTTTTTCAGTTACTGTTTTATACTTTTTCGATATTTATGATATTTTGGTTCCATGTTTTTGAACTTATTTAGATAAATAAAGTGCATCCTCACGTCCAACTTATGTGGTGAAGACAGGAAATAATGGACAATAAGGACTTGAATAACAAATGACGATTATTCAAGTCCATATTTCTCATTATTTCCTCTTCTCATTATTTAAATGTGTTTTAAATTATTTTGACTTAATTCTCGCTATTTTTATTTGGAATATGAGTTTTTACAGCAACCTATCTTATTTTTGTATTTAAAATTTTTGGATTTGATGTGTTCTAGTTGTTTTGTCAATTTTTTTACAGTTAGTGATTTCTTTCAGGTACAAATACGAAAATGTTCCTGAAACCAAACAAAGTGTGATATTAGCGTAGCCCTAGCGTAGTTTTAAGTCAGTATTCGCCGCCTCAGTTTTACCCCCTCACCACAATGGCCGCCAAGCAATGACGAACAACCAAGTAATGCTCGACGAAGTCAAAATCGAGAACAAGGTCCAATCGGAACAACTGGAGAAACTTTTGGGAAATTCGACCGTTCCGACCGTAGTTCCGGCCCAACTTCCGGTCCCTCTCGCCGACCGCAGGAAGTCCGAAAGCAGCCTTTTGGGCTCCTTCAGCAGGATTCGGCTATCTATCGGCAACAACTCCAAGGATGCGCCCAACGGACACGTTTTCAGCAGGTATTTTGACCCAATTACCTTTGGACGCGTTCCAACTCAAATGGTCCGATTTTTGGACTTAATTTATTCGATCATGTGGTGTAATTTGAATACAATAAATTACGAAAATGTGACGTATGCCGGGAATACCTTGAATAAGGTAAAAAAAAATTATAGTCGTGTGCGTCTAGGTCACTGTGTCATTGCAGTTGTTCGGCGATAAATTTTAATCGAGTAGACTGTGGACCACGCAAGATCAAAGATCATTTTCAGATTTTTTGAGTTTTGCGAAATTATTCCCGACAGTGTCTTGTTCTGAATCCAAAAAGGGAGAAAAATTGATTCATTTGGGCTTTTCAAATTTGTCAAGGACACGTTACATTTTTTTGCTCATGGTTTTGATTTTTTTTACAATAATTGTTCCAAATAAAGTAAATAAACAAAAATAATAATAATTTATTATTATTTAACTCAATAAATGATGATGATTGGTTTGTAAATAATATCTTGAATTATGCTAATTCTGTCAATTTCGAGGGATTTAACTCGTTTTTAGTTCAGAAACTGATTTAGTCGAAGTTATTTTGCTAAAAGAAGTTAAAAAAAAATCATCGTTTTAAGCCCAAGTACGAGTATTTCAACCAACTTTAAATACTTAAATAGTTTTGTCTGTTTTTGAGCCAAAAAACTCAAGCATTTTTGTCAAAATAAGGTTGAAAATTACCGTTTTAGGTCTGAATTTGACTGTTCCAATTAATTTTGCGTCATGTACATTATTTTTGAATCAAAACTTGTTTAATTAAAAATAATTTGCGGACCTTATTGCTTTGGGTTTAAATTGCGTCATCAAATCCAAGTTATTTAGCTTGTTTTTATAGAAAAAACTTACTGAACTGACTTTTTTTACCGAAACCGACTTAAAAATCCTCGTTTAAAATTTGAATTCGGCAACTTTCAGTCATTTTCAAGCGTTTTAGCAGCGTACTTTTTAGCTAGAAACTCACTTAATTCAAACGATTTGGTTTAAACAGGCCTGAAAAGTGTTGTTTCATGTCTAAACAGTACTATTTCAGCCAACAAGTGTTTTATCTTTGAGTCAAATGCTTACATAATTTAAGAAATTTTGTTGAAATAAGTCTGAAATTTGTTGTTTTGGCTCTGAATTTGGCTGTTTTTGGTCTTACTGAAATTAGAGCACAATTTTTGTTGTTTTTATATGTTTAGGTCGTTTTTGAGCCAAAAAAATATGGGCTAAACAGGCCTGAAAATTGCTAGTGCGAGTCTAAATTTAGCTATTTATCTCGTTTTTTAGCTAAAATGTCATTAATTTTAAAAGATTTTGCTAAAACATGTAGTTTAAGTGTAACTTATGTTACTTATTAACTTGTTTTTGAGTCGAAAAAACCTACTACGAGTTAAAAAAAATATTCTAAAAACCTGAAAATCGTCATTTTGGGTAAAAATTTAACTATTTCAGTCAATTCTGAAAAAAAAAAAATGAAACAAGCTTGAAAATTATCGTTTTATGACTGAATTGTCTATTTTAAGTATTGCTGACCTAACTAGTTTACTCTCGCTTAAGTAAACAAGCCTAAAAATCGTTCTTTCGGGTATAAATTTGCAATTTTAGCATTTTTAAAATATTTTAGCTTGTTTTTGAACCAAAAAAGCTTATTTAACGTGAAGATATGGTTTAAATAGATCTGAAGAACGTTGTTGCAGCTATTTCAATTAATGTTTGGCGGTTTTTCTAGTTTTTAATCCAAAATTTTGTTAAAACATGCCAAAAAATTGTTTAGATTCTTAACTCAAAAAAGTTTACCGAATTTAAAACAAAAAATCCAAACAGGCCTGAAAATCGTCTAGTTAAGTGTAAATTCGTCTATTTCAATCATTTTAAATCAATTTAGCTCATTTTTGAGCTAGAAAGTCACTTTCCATAAAAAAAAAATTAAACAGACTAAAAAATCTTGTTATAAGTCTAAAATCTGCTATTTTTTAAAACCAGAAAATCACTTAATTTAATAGATTTTCCCGAAACTGTTAAAAAAACCGTCATTTCAGTTTTCTTATTAATTTATTAATTTAATAACTAGAGCATTAACTCTATTCAGGCGTAGTTTAGTTGTGGAATCGTTTAAATATGAGAAATCCTTCGAATTCGATATAATAAATGACTCTGTTGAACCCAGGACCGATTGCCTAACACCTCTTTCGTAAGCCTTAATCCGCATTGACTAAAACCCATGTTCAACTTGACACTGAACTTCCAAGCCTCTTCAAAACCTTGCTCGCATCCAATTTCCATAGACCAACTGTCGAAATCGAAAAAGCGTCACCTCTCTGGCAAAATCCTGTTCGATTCGGTTATCTATCAGTCCATCTCTTCGCAATCAAGTCGCGCGACATTACGCCACGAAAAAATAGTCAAAAAAGCAGCAGCCAGTCCGTCCAGCCGATAATAATGAAAATAGAATTTGCAAACTGCGCCAAATTCTCGGTGTCGTCAAAATACTTTCAGTTTGAAGTGATTCGGGTGCGACACAGGTGGCTCCTTGCATTTACAAACACTCACTATTCCGATAAAAAGGTCCGAAAAAGGCAAAATTGATGTCAAGTCGCGCGGTTTTGCTGTGTCAGTTGACGAGTTCGAAGGTGATGTGCGTTGTTTACGTTGAGAGCCCTCCTCGAGGGTCTTTGTGGGTTTTAAATAGCAACAAGTGCATTATTTTGTGCGATTATTTACTCAAATAATTGCAAGTTAATGAGGTTTTGGTGAAGATTACTCGAGATGTTGCACTACTTTCAATGGTTTTTATGGTTTTATTGAACTTTAACGTTGTTTATGAGCTACAAAACGTGCAATGACATTTGAAATTCATAGTAAATCAAAAATATTCTTATTTTTTTTAAATTCCACCTTGGGAAGAAATTTGGATACTTGCCACTTGATGGTTTTTTCATGAATTATTTGCTTCAGTGAGAGTTGCTCATATTTATGATAGTTTTTTTCGGTTTTAATTTTGTAATTTAGACGCAATTTTGGCAATCGTTTAAATTCTAGAATGCTTTGTGCACTTTGAACTTTGGCTTTTTTGACACGTTAAATGTCAGATAAGGTTATTATCTGAGTTTCATATTTTGTTTTTTCTACTGTCATTAATTTGTCTGCAATGGTGGTAACTGTGAAAAAGTTAATACTTGTCAAGAGAAAATTACTCTTTATACTGGAGAATACTGGGGGCCGAAGGTGAAATTTTACTTTTTTTGACTCATCTACATACTTGAATTAACTACAGAGTGTTTCAATTAAATTTTTCTTCATTAAAAATAAACAAACAATTTAATTTTACTTATGTAACTGAAAGTCTATATTGATTTTAATTAATCTATGAACACTTTTTCATGCATTTAATATCATCGTTTTAGGTTTGAATTTATATATTTTCAGTCAATTTCAGCTACTTTGGCAAATTCTAACTAAGAGATTTTGATGAAACATGTTAAAAAATTGTTGGTTTAGGTGTAAATTACGCTATCTATCAAATTCAAGCGATTTAGTTTGTTTTAAAGTTTTTAAAGTTCACTGAATTCAAATTTTTTCCGAAAAATGTTTGAAAATCGTCGTTCGGATACTTACAGTTAACTCAAATTTGAGACAGAAACTTACTTAATTAAAAAAAAAATGGTCTAAACTTATGTGAAAATCATTGTTTTAGTTTTAAATTCAGCTGTTTTTGCAAGTTTCAAGCGATTTACTTCATTTTTAGCTAAAATCTTACTTAATTTAGCTGAAACATTTAAAAAAATGTTTTTTTTGACGGAAAAGTCTTGTTTGCGCAAAAATTTATATTTGTTAAAATATACTTGAATTAAGCAGAGAAATGTCTCAGTTAAATCTCCTTTGAATAAAACCACACCAAAACAAGCCTATTTCACAGATGTATAGTTAATTATTGTCGATTTTTCTCTGTATTAATAAACAAAACAATCATTATTTACAATTTTTATAAAAAAAAGTTTTTGCAAATAAATTTTGAAATTATGTGCTTGTGACATAATATTGATAGAAACAGGTTTTATACAATATTTTTTCTACATTGAATATACTCGTATAAATTGAAAATTAAAATTTATACAATATTAAAGTTTCTTTTTATTCAAAATTAAAAAAAAAAGCAAAATTTAGCTTTGTAGTCTGTATTGTGAAAATGGCATGGCTAGTTATAATAGATTTGGGTTAATGTTATTTTACACACCTATTTAATTTTAAATTTATAGACACGGAAATACATAAAAAATATTTTTGACAAGTCATCAATCTTTTTTAAGCAGTTTTTAAATAGATTTTTTAAACTAAATAAACGTATTTAAAACTCGATTTTTTTCAAACCAAAAAATTGATTTTTACTTTGAAATTGATTAAAATCTCAGGTCCGAAAATGTGAGTTTCAATTGTAATGGACTAATTCGAGTGTTAAATTTTCAGTGGTAATAAAAACTCTTCTGAAAGTTATTGACAATTCCTGCTACACAAAACACTGCAGCAGCGAATGATTTTTTATTAGTTTGTATTAGTGTTACATGTAAACACATTAAAGTATTTACACAATTTAACAGATGTAACGGTTAAAAGTAAAAAAGCCAAGCGAAAATTTTTTCGCATTGCGTGATCCACGATTTGGGTAATCGCAATTCCAGTAATTTCGTATAAAAACCTCCGATTTCGTGATGTATTTTTAAATAAATTAAGCATGAAATGTTAGACGCCACTTTGTGTAATTTTTTCAATAATTTGCCCAAATTTATTTTTCTATTTTCACGTGTGTATCAAATCTGTCAGCGGAGATAAATCCGGAAGTTTTCAACATGACAGCAAAATTATTTTACAATTATTCTGCTCACCTTGATAACCAGGAAACGTGGTTTATGTTACTTTCGAGTTTCGAGAAAATCTATACAAACGTCATAACGATAACATAACTAATTCTCAAGAAAATCGAGTTTTGTGACTAAAGTCAAAGCTCAGAGAACGGGATTTACTTGTGATTAAGTCGGATTAAAATTTGACAATAAATAAACCAGTTCCGATAAATTGATTCAGTGGACTGGTTTTAGCAGTAAATTGGTCTTGAAGTCTTGCAAGATTACTTTCAGTTCACTCACCGTAATTTTTGCCCAATTTAAAATCAGGTGATCGATTTCTCCTCAAAAACGTAAACAGCGCACATCGTACTCAATCTTGCTCGGGATTAATCCTAATCTGGGATTAATAATTTCAAATCCTTGTGACAGCGTTCCAGTTTAGGACACCTTGTGATAATATGATTTCAATATCGTCAATAAATAATCCATCTAAAGGCTGGCCTTTATCTAATCATCAGTGGTGTGGTATTAATAAATTGGTGGTGTTTGTCTCCAATAAAGTTAATCTAATGTCGGCGGTAAATTAATAGACTTTGGTGTTTGGTGAGGAATTACGAGTTTTGTGCCAATTTCGTCGACATGGGGAGCATGGCGGGACTCAAACGATGCCTCTCGCAGGTCTCGATGATGGCCGTCAAGGCGTCCACGTCGGGAGAAGAAGCGTGGCTTCATGCCTGGCACAGGTGCTGAAATTGTCAAGATTTTATATGCGTTTTATAAACAATAAGAACGTGCCGGAAGCTCCTATCGATTGCTATCTCATTCCTGTTAAACATCAAAGGAGAAAAATTGTTGATTTTTGCAGGATTTATTACTCAAAAGAATCCAAAAAAATTCTCACAAAGTTTAAATAATTATTTTGAGAAAGACTAATTTAACACTACTTGAAAGTGGTTTTTTCAAGTGGGATGACGTGAACACCAGGAATTTGCAAACAGAATTTTGCTGGGGGCAATACAACGCCGGAAACGTTGTTGTAAATATGCAATTATTTATTTTTCAAGTATTTGTGGAGGTGGATTCCGAGCTAAACATTTATTCAGCTTTGATATTTTCAAAAATTTTTCTTAAGTCAAAAGTAGCGATTTTAAGCTCTTCTTGCTTCAGGATTTAGGAAAAAGCAAAGAAATAAGTTTTTTTTCAACACTAATTTCCTATACTGTTTCTATGGTACATTTAAGGTTATCTCTTTGCTCTTCTATAAAATACGTCGTCAATCACATCGTATTTTATAAGACTTATCACCATTTTGTCATTATTTTGACAAATTTCTTAACTTTCTGAATTTAGTAAAATTTTTGATCTAATATTAGTGTTGGAATTTTTTTTGAACACAACACAAGTTTGGAAGTTTAAAGCTCTTGTTGTCTTAGTAGCTATTAAAATTGTAATTTTTTTGCATAACTAAAATTGGTAATTGCAGTGGAGAAAATTTGTTGATTGTGTTTATAACTATCATAGAAATAATGAGTTTCAGATTGTTTTAATTGCCAATATATAAATAAATTAATTAACAAATGTGTCTCAAAACTCGCGCCTCTGAGAAAAAATTTACGTAAGATAATATACCAGGGACATGGAAAAAATGTTGAAAAAATTCTATCTGGCAAAAAATTTTGACATTTATTTTTTAATAATTGACATTAATTTTTTGACATTTGATATTTTTATGTCTATTTGATGATATTGATTATCTTGTATGTTTTTTTATAATTATCTAGTAAAAAAAAAAAACAGAGTTACAATTTAAGATACAACTCCCTTGTTTCCTCTTGTAACAGCTTGTAGCAAAAAAAGTTGGAAAATTATTTTTACTACAGAAATAGTTAGATCTAATTATAGTGTTGGAAATTTTTTTGAAGACAACACAAGTTTTGTAGTTTAAAGCTCTTGTTGTCTTAGTAGCTATTAAAATTGTAAATTTTTTGCATAACTAAAATTGGTAATTACAATGGAGAAAATTTGTTGATTGTATTTATTATAACTATTATAGAAATAATGAGTTTCAGATTGTTTTAATTGCCAATATATAAATAAATTAATTAACGAATGAAAATAAGTCGACAACCAACTGTTTTTCAAAGATAAAAGTCGATAAAATTTGTTGTTCCGTTAGTCTTTGTTGTTGCAATAATTAAATATGTACTTGTAATAGCCATCGAAAATGAACCAAAAAATTGAATTTCTTTGTTTTTTATTGTATTCGTTTGTTTTATTTCTCATTATGTAATAGCAATTTGCAATTTTATTATAATTTAAGTGCTTTCTCCTTGAATATTTCATGAAGCGAATGCAATTGCTTGTAACATCTTTCTTACGTTTATTTCTAACTAAAAAAAATCTAGACGAGAGTAGCAAGCCAAGCATTTATTTTCATTTCCATAAAGGTGCCAAATTTTAATTAAATTAATAGTTATTTAAAATAGTCAATTAAAACAACAAATATATAAATGGGTTTTTATTTTTAGCAAGCATCTTGGTAGAGGGTAAGTTAAATATTGATACAGTCCGAAAATTAAGTGCACTGCCAAGCTTTTCACTGTTTTATTTCAAAATAATTTAAAGTCAAACAATTTTGGTACAACAATGGATTTATTATTGTAAACAAAAACGGAAGACCTGGCAATGATTGATGCCAGGCTATCATCAAGGAAAAAAAACAAAATTATAGAGAAATCCCGTCTGATGGAAATCTCCACATCGTGTCGAAAAACATTTACATTAATTTTGTATTATTGTGACTTGTTTGAACGCTTCTTCGCTGCTTGAACCCACTGTCAATTAGCACATTTTGCGATTCGCACACGATTTGGACCAAATCCTTTCTTTGTGCTTGTCCAAGTCCATTCATTCGCAAATCCATGTCCAGGTGTCCACACAAAACAAACTCGTTATGACGCAATAAACGACAAATGCACCGTTGAATATTAACGAGCCACTTACTCACAAAAAGCAGCATCACGGACGATCGATTATTTGGTATTTTCATAATAACAAGTCCAAAATTAGCGAAAATGAAAGTAAACGAGATTTTTTGAGCTTGGATGGGCAAAAAACACAGGTTTCTAAAACCACTGATCTACATTTTACGCAATGATTGTTTTTAATTATTGACAATTTACGCTAATAAAAAAAATTTGGAAAAAGATTTTCATCGACCGTACCGAAGTTTTTTTAATGAGTAATGAAACGAATTGTAATACTTGGCAAATAATTTTTTTTTTCAAAATTATCATAAAACAGTGTCTCAAAACTCGCACCCCTGAGAAAATTTCACGTAAGATAACATACCAGGAACATGGAAAAAATGTTGAAAAAATTTTATCTGGCAAAAAATTTTGACATTTATTTTTTAATATTTGACATTAATTTTTTGACATTTGATATTTGTTTATGTCTATGTAATGATATTGATGATCTTGTATATGTTTTTTTTTATAATTATCTAGTAAAAAAAACAGTGTTACAATTTAAGATATAACTCCCTTGTTTCCTTTTGTAACAGCCTGTAGCAAAAAAAATTGGGAAATTATTTTTACTACAGAAATAGTTGCAATAAAATTTTCAATTTTTAAACGCAGAGTCAAGTGCAAAATTTAAATTCTTATAACTTCGAAATTTTTAAAGATTTTTGTCTCTGGGGCGGGAGTTCTGGCTCACCCTGTAAGTATATTAATAGCTTTGAACATTTTAACATTTTTATTACTGTTGATTCTAAAAAAATAAAATCCTACACATTGGTAAAAAAGGCTTTACTCTATCGTTTAATGTTATGTTGTATGTACATTTTTTATACAGGGTGTCACCTAGAAGCAAGAGACTGTTAACTTAAAAAAATGTATACAACTATTTCCAATTCCAAAAAAATTCACCCAAAATTCCATAATAAAATTTCATAATCCATCGTAATTTCATTCTTTTCAGATTAATTCTAAATTAATTTTTGGAATTTCAACTGAATTTCCGTATTTCCAACTTGATATTTTTGTAGTTTTTGTAATTTCAAATTAATTTCGTAATTTTGAAAAGATGTTTTTGATTTTTTTTCCAAAAAAAATTAACCGACATTCTAGTAATTGAAATAATCTATGGTTCCAGGTTAATTTCTATAATTTTAAATTAATTCTAATTTAATTTTTGTAATTCCAAAATAAATTCTTGTAATATTAATTTTGATTCTAAGACATTTACCCCGATAATTTTAAAAAGAATTCCAGTTATTTCTGAGAAAATCTAGTAATTCACAGTAATTCCAAACAATCCAATGAATTCCTAATCAATTAAATTCCAAAAAATTAGCCTCTCGACTAGAAGTGACCAAGTTATAAAATTTTCAAACAACCATAATTTTATATTTCTTTATTTTAGCTTGTTTAACTGCTAATTTCTTGCTTTGTAGTTTCGTATTTACAAGTAGGTAAATATACAGGGTGGCCAAAGTTTTATTTCGTTGTAAAAGTTGAAATTTTGGGCTAGGCCTCACGTGGTTTATAAAATATTTTCAACTTGGATTTGGCCATTTTATAGAATTTAGAATATGTTTTTGCAGATATAAGCAGAGTCGCTTCAACGCGCGCCGCATCCGCAAGCGCGTGGTGTTCAAGCATGGCGACTGCAACGTGGTGCAAGCCAACGTGGCGAAGCGCCGCCGCAAGTACCTGCAGGACATCTTCACGACTCTGGTCGACGCCCAATGGCGTTGGACTTTGCTCGTGTTCGCTTTTAATTTCTTAGGCTCTTGGTTGGTCTTTGCCGTGGTTTGGTGGCTGATAGCCTACACGCATGGCGACCTCCTCGAGGAGCATCTTGTGAGTCGCGTTGCGCACCGCAACTCAAACTAACTCGTCTGATTATAGAACGGGACGGAGCCGTGGACGCCCTGTATAACCAACATTTACGGTTTCACGTCGTGCTTCCTTTTCAGCGTCGAGACGCAGCACACGATCGGGTATGGCGGCCGGACCACCACCGAGGAGTGTCCGGAGGCCATCTTCGTCATGTGTCTGCAGAGCATCGGGGGGGTGATGATTCAGGCGTTTATGGTGGGGGTGGTTTTTGCCAAATTGTCCAGGCCGAAAAAACGCACACAAACTTTGCTTTTCTCGCGAAATGCCGTCATTTCGCACAGGGATGGGGTGCCGTGTTTGATGTTCAGGGTGGGGGATATGAGGAAAAGCCACATTATTGAGGCCCACGTCAGGGCACAACTTATCAAACATAAAGTTACCAAAGAAGGGGAGAATTTGCCGTTCTTCCAGACGGAGTTGAAGGTATGGGTAAGCATCACAAGGGAACCAAAAGACAAAGTCTTCTCATTTTTCCGGAAAAGCAAAAACAAACTCAAACAAAACACAATTTTGCTTCTTCGGAGAGGACGGTCATCCTTTGGTCGATTTTTCTAAAATTTGTTCTCCAGGTCGGCGGTGACGGCGAAGAAGACAAAATCTTCTTCATCTGGCCGACGATGATCGTCCACAAGATCGACAAAAACTCTCCCTTGTACAACATGTCGGCTACTGATCTCCTGCGGGAGAGATTCGAAATTGTCGTCATCCTGGAGGGAGTCATCGAGTCAACAGGGATGACTACTCAAGCCCGGTCCAGTTACCTCCCTTCGGAAATTTTATGGGGGCACCGATTCCAGTCATTGATCACTTTCAGGAAAGACTCAGGGCAGTATGAGGTCGATTACGCCCTCTTCAATAACACGGTGGAGGTGGACACCCCCCTCTGCAGCGCCAAACAACTAGATGAGTACCGACACATGTCCAGCAACGAGTGTGTTGGTAAGTGGTACCAAGAGTTGAAATATGTTTTTATTGTGGTTAAGGTTTGCTTGCAGACCACTTGAGGACCGGTCTTTTCCCCTCCATGCGGACCCACTCTAGTGACACCCTCTCCAGTATGGATTCCTTGTCCACCGACGAGCACATAGTGATGAAAGTACCCGATCACATAGTAATGAAAGTACCAAGTCCGATTCCAGTGACAGTTACCGCCCCTGAGGAAACCACCCCTTTGCGCAATGGTTCCATACCCAAGGCCACTTTACCAGTCCCAGTCTAATGCCAGTTTTAACTTAATTCATTGATACGCTTATTAGAATATCGCTGGTTCGATATTTTAGAATTATTAACATTTGAAAAATTGTCATTTTGTTGTGCCCTGCAACAAGAAATGTCAATTCTTCATTTTGATTTTATTTTGTTTGATCTCCCATGTCGAGAATTTCCAGCGTGTATTATGTATAAACGATACGTAAACAGATCTAAAGTCGTAAGTTAAGTGTTTTGATGTAGCGCCACCTTTCAAGCTTTTAATTTTTTAACTGTAGCTCTTTTTTTCATTTTTATATTTTGCTCCGACTTTGTGTTCACGAAAAACTTTCTTTTAATTCACTCAACTTTTCTATTATTTATTTTTATACAGAGTACTTAATGTAGTTCGTAATAACTATCTGCTTAGATCTTACGGTAGGATTAAGAATAGGTGTAAATAGTCAGTGCCATACACTCCTCTAAGGAATTTTTCTACAAAGTAAAGTCAATAAATTATTTCAAAACCTGAACGCATTTTTATTTTAAATTTTACACAAGAGAACAAACCAAAAGGATTGAAATTTAAATAAAAACGTTAGAAAGCACTCAATTAATTTTCGATCTCTAAGATGAAAAGGTAAGTGTTTTTTATCATTGAAAATTATTAAACTTTTAAACATAATGTTTGAAATGTTTGAAAGACGAGACTTAGGAATACCAGTAAACAAAAACTAATGTATACAGAATGTCCCACCTAAGATTTTCGGGTCTAATATCATTATTATTTGCCAACAGGTTCTAACGAAATTAAAATGTAGAATATTTAAGAGGTAATGTCGCATTATTAAAACAACTCTAGCCATTAAAATGTGATTTTAACATATCTTTTAAAAATGCTAAATTACTTAAAATTTTTAATCGCCAAAAAAATACTATAAGCACAAATCTGTCTTTAAAAATAGTCCCGCTTACAAAAAAAGAATAAAAATGTGGTAAAAGTGGCGGAAGATGCAAAAAAATAAGCGATTATAAGAAAAAGAAGGATATTACGAAATTTTGTACGAAAATGACAAGAATTGTTTCGCTTAATTGTAAATTAAGAAAATATGTGATACAACTATTTTTTATTTTAAGTTAATTATTATTAATACACACTAACTGAATCTTCACCTTCTAAGTTATCCACATTTTAAATTTCATAAAAATCTGTTGGCAAATAACAGAAATATTAGACCCCAAAATCTTACATGGGACATTTGTGTAATGTAAAAAAAAATATACATATTATTTACTCAAAAAAATCTTATAGTTTATTATAGTTAATTTCTATTTGTGTTCGTTTGTTGTTTGATTTTTT